TTTAATTACAAATATTATTTTAGTTTTTCAATTTTAATTATATATTAATTTATTATGTAAATAGAAATATGTCACAATGGTAAAATATCACCATTTGATTTTACATGGTATTAATATTAAAAAAAAAACTGATTTTGTAATAAAATAATAAAGACTGTTTTTGTTCTAAAAATTATATTTTTTAAATTTAAGAGATAATTTTAATATAAATTTGAAAGTTAATGAACCAAATTAGTATTTTAACCCTCTCGAAAGGGGGGTTGTTAGAACTGGAAACCGGATAAGCGACCGGACCCTCAAACTCTCTTTCTTGTCGTCGTCAATTGTACATTACAAGTCGCAATTAGCTGCAGCAGCAGCCAACTTCAACGTTCTGGTAGTAATTGCTCTTCCACTTTTCTTCCTCTTCCTATTCTTCTCTTTTTCCCTACGGCAAACACACACACACACACACACACCAAAACTCCACATTTCCGAATTTAATGGTATGATTTCCAATCTCAACTCGGAATTCAATGGTATGATTCAATTGTTTTGATTGTTTGCCTCTGTTTCGATTTTAGCTTGCTTCAGAAGCTTCTGTCGGGGTTCCGAGGGAGAGCGGGGGGAGGATGGAGAGGAATACGACCAAGATTTGTGCTCCGATCATGGCGGATTCTGTTGATGAAATGGTGGCTAATATGGTCAAAGCCAAAGCTGGTGGGGCTGATCTTGTTGAATTTCGATTGGATAGTTTGAAAAGCTTTCATCCTCAACAAGATCTCAGGATTTTAGTCAAAGACTGCCCTTTGCCCTCTCTGTTCACTTACAGGTTTCCTGATGTTGGACTTTTCTGTTTTTTGTGGTGTCACACTCTTTAAGTTTTTTGTTGGTACATCTTAAATTAAAAATCAAAACTTTTCTTCTTAATTCAGAATTTCACCTTTTCCAAGAGAAAAAAATTTCATAATCATCACTTAGTAATTGCTAAACCCAACTTATAAAAATCATCAAAGGATGGATCTTTTTGATTTTTGATTTTTGATTTTTTTTTGATTTTTTATTTTTGGTTAATAGACCAAAATGGGAAGGTGGTCAATATGATGGTGATGAGAAAGAGCGTTTAGATGCGCTTCGATTAGCCATGGAGTTGGGAGCTGATTACATCGATGTTGAGCTCCAGGTTTCTCTCTCTTTAATGTGTATCTTAGAATCTCAATTGCAGAATGTTTGTATTTTACTTTGTTGCTTGCATTTAAAACCTCTCATGTTTTATGTGTATCATTGTTGTGATTGGAGAAATATGTTAAATTTATTTAAAAATTTCACGTTGGTTTAAAGTATTATTAAAATGTAGTATTGTATTCTCAAGTTAATGCATAGAACAATTGAGAAAAGAAGAAGAAGAAGAAGAAGAAGAAGAAACTTGAACCTTTTGTTTACTGGAATTTATTACTAATTCCTTTTTTTGTGCTGAATTTATTTTCCTTTTCTAATACTTTTTCTCTCCATGAAGGCTGCTGATGAATTCATTAAATCCATTCATGGTAAGAAGCCTGAGAAACTCAAAGTCATTGTTTCCTCGCACAACTATCAGAACACTCCATCTGTTGAGGAGCTTGGGAACCTTGTTGCAAGAATACAAGCCACTGGAGCTGACATAGTGAAGATAGCAACAACTGCCGTGGATATAACTGATGCGGCACGCATTTTTCAGATAATTGTTCATTCTCAAGTATGAAGCGTTTAATTACTACTAAGTTTTAACTAACTATGAGCTGAGTTTTGATTGAGTAAAATTTGACAAGGTGAGTAACTGGTTTGAGTCTTAAATGATGACTGTTCTTGATATAATGTAGCTTAAGGTTTTACCAAAGAAATGGTCTTTCTATGGCCATGGGGTAACCTGGATAGAAGGGAAAGAAATGAGTTCTTATAGATGGAGACTATGCTCTACTGATACCATTTTTATAGAGAAGATGAGAAACTTGTATAACATACTGTTGACTATAGTCAAAAGGTTCTTCCATATTACTACTTCCTGTCCTTTTGTGTTTAACATTGCTTAAAATTAAAATTAGGAAAACTGTAGTATTTTGGTGGCTGGATTGAAAATTTATGTTAAGTTGTTTTCCTTAATTTCGGTATGGGTGCTGGATTTATGTTGCGACTGGTAACGATTTGATGTTTTCTTGATTACTTAATTGATTAGAATTCAAGAGGATTTCTTCCTTACTGAAATTTTAGGTTCCAGTGATTGGACTTGTTATGGGTGAGAGGGGGTTTATTTCTAGGATACTCTGTGCAAAATTTGGTGGGTATCTCACTTTTGGGACCCTTGAGGATGGAATTGTTTCAGCTCCCGGTCAGCCAACAATCAAGGATCTATTGAATATATACAATTTCAGGCTAATAGGTCCTGATACTAAAGTGTATGGTGTTATTGGGAAGCCAGTGGGGCACAGCAAAGCGCCCTTTTTATTCAATGAATTGTTCAAATCAGTTGGTTTCAATGGGGTCTACGTACATTTACTAGTGGATGATGTTGCAAAGTTTCTCCAGGCCTACTCATCTACAGATTTTATTGGGTTCAGGTTCATTTCTTCTGTTAAACATTGCCACTTTTGAAAAATTACATTGGAATGTTTTGTTCTTCTGTGGTCATTTGAGCACTGCAATTAGTAGCTTTTGCACTTCAATACTGAATAACTGGATGCTGTCACTTCATTCCTCGTGCAGCTGTACCATTCCTCACAAGGACGCTGCACTGAAGTGTTGTGATGAGGTTGATCCAGTAGCAAAGGTAGCTTATTATTCATCTGCTATTGGCAGTATTACAGTCTCCAGCTGGATTTAAATAATTTAAGACTACATTTTATCTATCTCTCTTCCATATTTGATTGATTTGTTTTAAATAAATATCAGTCTATAGGAGCTGTTAATTGCATTGTGAGGAAACAAACTGATGGGAAGTTATGTGGCTTCAATACAGACTATTTTGGTGCTATTTCTGCTATTGAAGATGGACTACGAGGTCTGTTGTTGTTTTTGAACTGAGCAGGCAGGTTTTTAGTAACTTTTGCACAAATATGATTACCTAAATTTTCCCTTTACAGGGACATCTAATACGAGCAGTACTGCTGGTTCACCCTTAGCTGGGAAGCTGTTTGTGGTTATTGGTGCTGGTGGTGCTGGAAAGGCACTTGCTTATGGTGCAAAAGAAAAAGGAGCAAGGGTTGTCATTGCCAATCGGACTTATGGTAAGGTCTTGCTCTGTGGTGTATTATTTTAAAAAACAAAAATCAGTTTTGGATTGTAAATACTAAATAAGAACTTTATTTCCCTTTTTGGCATATCTACCCGTTTAGGTCATTTAATTCATATGTTCTCTTTATTTACTAGGTTCAGTTTCTGCTTTCCCTTCTAATCTTTTTCCATGCAAATGTTGATTTCTTTTACATTTCCGTGAAGAATCATTTATCATGTGAAATGAATTTTTACATAAAATAAACAGATATCTATGTCAAATTACTAGTTATTCTTCCAATTATTGTCTACAAAATTATAGATATCCTTGTCTTTCTCTTACTCTTGTCTAGGAGGTTCCACACCTTTAAAAGCAGCTCTTTTTTGGTATGATTTTTTTTCTTTTCTTTTCTAACCATGCTTCTCCTTGGCAAAATCATGTTAATAAATGGCTTATTTTGAAATTGGATTTGGTTGAGATTTATAGTTGCATTGATAATGACTTAATTAAGAGTTTGTTAAGTTGCCCTTTTTTCTACTCCACTTAAAGATCGAGCCAGAGAACTTGCGGACACAATTGGAGCAGATGCGCTGTCTCTTTCTGATTTGGATAATTTCCATCCAGAGGATGGAATGATTCTTGGTAACACCACATCCGTTGGAATGCAGCCAAAAATTGGTGAAACGCCTATTTCAAAGGTTTGCATCCTTTCCATGCAGTTTTCTCTTATGAATGGAATTCACACTTAGTCTGAATTTTGATTTCCTGCCAAAGGTCCTAATGAGCTTTCTCATTAAAAGTATCTGGTTGCTTACTTTTATGGCATAACCATGCATGCCTAATCTGGACTTGATGTGTTTCTGACATCATAAAACATTGTTAGAGATATATGTTCTACCTTTGAAAATTCCATGGCTGGCTGTTAGCTAATTGAAAGTCAGTGGTATCTTGTGTACTCCTTAGGAAGTCTTGGCTTATGGAGTTATAGTGACATTACATGCCCACTAATGACTCCAACTAGAAAGCCCCAGGCTTGGAACAGTAGCCTTTGCAGAGAAATATACATACATTTAATATATGAATCCAAGCTGAGTGGGGCCTAAGAAATAGGAGTTTCATCTGAATTTTCTGCAAAGCTTTCCTAACGTTGAACTCTTTAGCAGACTCAAAAGGCTAATGAATTAACTGACTTCCTGTGGCTGCAGCATGTTTTGAAATACTATTCTCTTGTTTTTGATGCGGTGTACACCCCCCAAATAACCAGACTTCTGAGAGAAGCAGGAGAAGCTGGAGCAATAACTGTTTCTGGGTTGGAGATGTTCATTGGGCAGGCATATGAACAGTATGAGAGGTTCACAGGATTGCCTGGTAAGACAAAAATTGTCATATAAATAAACTCAAGTGTCCTTAATTTCCCAGTAGTTCTATTCACTCAGTTTTTCATTGACTTGTTTATGTTTTTAATTTCCCTGTTCTTTTATGTTTGCCTGCAGCACCAAAGGAAAAATTCTGGAAAATCATGTCCAAGTACTAATTGCATAATGAAAATTTTATTGTCCCTTTTCAGTTCCTGGGGGTAAGATTTGGTTGAAGAGAAATAATATGGCAGTATTTTTATTATTTCCCTCAGTAATTGGAGGATAGATTTGTGTACTATGCATTCTTCTTTCTATCAATAATAGTATTATTGCCTGATCAAGAACATAAGAAAATTTGTACTTTATTGAGTTGATGTAATAATAAAATGAAGAGTTAAATTGAACAATTGATAAAATTAAAGTTAATTATAAATTTTTTTAATACAAATTAATTATATAAAGGTATAATTCATATTCTTTAAAACATTTGTTTTAAAAAAATCCTTTTTGTAATTTACTCAAAAAATTGACACTAACAATAATATTTGTAAAATATTATTTTTGTTCTCTAAAAATTTTAAAAGAATCCATATTTTACATAATGAATTATATATCAAAAGTATAGATGTTTTAATGAATTTATTAAAATATTTTTAATAAAATAATAATAAATAATTTTTTAGATAAATTTAATAAATTCATAAGATAATGTCTATTTTTATTGGATAGTTGATTTTATAAAACACTTGTTTGAATCTTAAAATATTTTTTTATAATCAAGGATCTAAATAATTTAATATTCATCTCTTTTTGTTAGAAATAAAAAATTTTAAATTTAAATCGCATAACGTGTGAATAAAATGAGATAAATGATAAAAATAATTACTTCTTATTGCACAATCAAGATAAAATAAAAAAAATACTTCTTTATAAATTTTAAGAAAAACACTTCAAAGTAAATTATTAAAAAAAGAAAAACCCAATAATATTTGTAATTTATCCCCCGACAAAGCAATGTCAAGTGTCAACGTCCCAAGTTGCCAACAATCCCAATCCAACGGTCATGATCAAAGACTCCGTCGATTTCCGGTAGCAAAATACAAGTTAATAATTTTTTATCTTCTACTGTTGAATGCTAACAGAATTTTCTTGACCAATCCAAGCAAAATGAGATGAAGAAAAGCTTGAATAAGTGGTACCCTGAAGAGTTTAACTTGAAGAGTCGATTCCTAAACATCAAATAGGGTTTTAAATGCCCACGAATCTATACCAAATCACATCCAAGATCGTGTCATTAGCGAGATCAGGTAGCATAACATGTGCTCGCCAAATGTTCGACAAAATGCCTCACAGAGACGCAGTCGCTTGGAACGCAATGCTCTCTAGCTACTCTCAACTGGGTTTTTACCGGGAAGCTCTTTCTCTCTTTCACCAGATGAGAATTACAAATATGAAGCCCGATCAATTTTCCTTCACAGCAACTTTGAATGCGTGTGCAGGGCTGGTAGATGTTGGAAATGGAACCAAAATTCACTCATTAGTCATTGTTTTGGGGTATCGGTCTTCTTTGACGGTTAATAATTCGCTTGTTGACATGTATGGGAAGTGTTTAGTTCCTCACTGTGCAAGTAAGGTTTTTGAGGAAATGGGTTTTGCTAATGAAGTTACTTGGTGTTCGCTTTTGTTTGCACATGTGAATGCCAGCCAGTTTAGCACTGCTCATGAAGTGTTTTATTTGATGCCAAAAAGGGTTCAGATTGCTTGGAATATAATGATTGCAGGTTATGCTCAGAGTGGGGAGATTGCAATATGTATTGATACGTTTAGAGAGATGAGAGAGAATTTGTGTTGCCCTGATCAGTGGACTTTCAGTTCTCTAATGAATGCTTGTGCTGAATCATCCAAATACTCAGATGGATGCATGGTGCATGCTTTTATTATCAAAACAGGTTGGAGCTCTGCAGTGGAGGCAAAGAATTCAATTTTAAGCTTTTATGCAAAACTAGGTTGCCAGGATGATGCTGTGAAGGAGTTTGAATCCTCTGGAATGCTCACTCAGGTGTCTTGGAATGCCATCCTTGATGCTTATATGAAAATGGGAAAAACCAGTGAAGCCTTTAATGTGTTTCAGCATGTGCTGGAGAAGAATGTTGTTTCATGGACATCTATGATTGCAGGATTCACGAGAAATGGGGAAGCAGAGGAATCCCTTGGCTTCTTTGTAGACATGATGACAAATTGTATACATCCAGATGATTTCACATTTGGAGCTGTGCTTCTTGCCTGTTCAAGTTTGGCAGTATTAGGGCATGGTAAAATGGTGCATGGTTGTATTATTAGTTATGGTTTTCAAGCTTATGCTTATGTTGGCAATGGTTTAGTTAACATGTATGCTAAATCTGGGGATGTCAAGGGGTCAAGGCTTGCATTTGATGATATTGTAGACAAGGATCTGGTCTCTTGGAATACCATGTTGTTTGGTTTTGGGATGCATGGATTGGCCAGTGATGCTTTAAAGCTCTATGAAGATATGGTGGCATCTGGGATGAAGCCTGATAAGGTGACCTTCGTTGGATTGTTGATGACTTGTAGCCACTCTGGTCTGATTGAGAAAGGTCGTTCATTTTTTGAACAGATGGAAGCAGCATATGGGCTTTCCTATGAAACAGACCATGTTGCTTGTATGGTGGATATGCTTGGCCGAGGAGGATATGTAGCAGAGGCAAAAGAGTTGGCTGGTAAGTACTCTCATACAAGTGGTGACAAAAGCAGTTCATGGGAAGCCTTGTTAGGGGCCTGTTCGGCAAATGGGGATGTAGAAACTGGGACATATGTGGGGCAAGATCTGAAGATTTTGGAACCTCATAATGAGATGAGCTATGTTTTGTTATCTAACTTATACTGCACAAGTGGACAGTGGAGAGAAGCAGAGATTGTTAGGAAAGCAATGGTGGATAAAGGGGTAAAGAAAATACCTGGTTGTAGTTGGATTGAAGTCAGAAATAAGGTGATAGCCTTTGTTTCTGGCAACAATTTCAATCTAGAAATGGAACAGTCATGTAAGATGTTATACTCCCTTGAACTTGAAATGAGAAATCCATGCTTTATCAGTATTCAAAATTGAAGAAACATTGCTGGGTTCAGGTTAATTTCTTTTGTTAAACATTGTCACTTTTGAAAAAATTATATTTGAGTGTTTTTGTTCTTCTCTGTTGTTTTGGGGACTGCAATTACTAGCATTTGCACTTCTATACTGAATAACTGGACGCTGTCACATCATTCCTTGTGCAGCTGTACCATTCCTCACAAGGAGGCTGCAGTGAAGTGTTGTGTTGAGGTGGATTTAGTAGCAAAGGTAACTTATTAATTTTATTATTAATCTACTGATGCTAGTATTACAATCTCCACCTGCATATATAGTAATTTAGATAATTTAAGACTACATTTTATCTATGCCCCATCCATAAATGATTTGTTTTAAATTAATATCGGTCTATAGGAGCTGTTAAAGGCATTGTGAGTATAAACTGATGAAATACAGACTATTTCAGCGCTATTTCTCCTATTGAAGATAGACAGCGAGGTTTGTTGTCTTTTTTGAGCTGAGCATACAGGTTTTTAGTAACTTTTGCTCAGTGATGATTACTAAGTTTTTCCTGTTCAGGGACATCTAATACAAGCAGTACTGCTGGTTCACCCTTGGCTGGGAAGCTGTTTGTGGTTATTGGTGCTGGTGGTGCTGGAAAGGCACTTATTTATGGTGCAAAAGAAAAGGAAGCAAGTGTTGTCATTGCCAATCGGACCTATGGTAAGTTCTTGCTCTGTGGTGTATTATTTTAAAAAACAAAATAAGTCTTGGCTTATGGAATTATAGTGACATTACATGCCCAATAATGACTACAAATAGAAAGCCCTTCACTTAGAACAGTGGTCTTTACAAAGAAATATACACACAATTAATAGATGAATCCAAGCTTAGTGGGGCCTGAGAAACAGGAATTTCATCTGAATTTTCTGCAATGCCATGGTAATGCGATCTCTTTAACAGACTCAGAGGATATTGAATTAACTGACTTCCTGTTTTTGAAGCATGTTTTGAAGTACTATTCACTGGCTTTTGATGTGGTGTACAACCCAAAAATAACCAGACTTCTGAGAGAAGCAGAAGAAGCTGGAGCAATAACTGTTTCTGGGTTGGAGATGTTCATTGGGCAGGCATCTGAACAGTATGAGAGGTCCACAGGATTGCTTGGTAAGATAAAAATTGTCATATAAATAAATTCAGTGTCCTTTCTAAGTAGTTCTATTCACTCAGTTTTTCATTGACTTGTTTATGTTTTTAATTTCCCTGTTCTTTCATGTTTGCCTGCAGCACCAAAGGAACACTCCCGGAGAAATCATATCCAAGTACTAAGTAGGTCTACTTGGCTAATTTTTCTTGCATGGTGATGTTTTTGTTATTTTCCTCATTGATTGTATAAATTCATATTTCATTTGTGGAAATTCTTTTATAGCCTGATCAGCTTGAGAGAAACGAAGGGAATGGAGGGGAGATTTGACCAATTAAATTAAATTGTTAAGTTAACGAAATAATTCGAGTGATTATGATAACCTTCCCTCCAGACTTCCTTTTCTCGAACTAGACATGCTCTTAGTTCTAAAAGCTTGAAGGATGGGTTTGTACTTTGCATTCTTTATTTTATAAATAATATTATTATTGAAAAATGTTATAATTATAATATCACATTATAAATATACAATATAATATGTTAT